TTGGAAGTGTGCCCTCCTCTTCAATTTTTTGGAAGAATTTGAGAAGGATAGGCATTAATTGTTGTTTAAATGTTTGATAGAATTGACCAGTGAAGCCATCTGGTCCTGAGGTTTTCTTTGTCGGGAAACTTTTGTTTATTGATTAAATCTTCTTACTAGTTACAGGTTTTTCAGATTTTCTATTTCTTCATAATTCAGTCTTAGACATTTGTATGTTTTTAGGAAATTACCGCTTTCTTCTAGATTAGGCAATTTGTTGGCATATAATTGTTCATAGTAGTCTCTTATCTTTTGTATTTCTGGGGTAGCAGTTGTAATGTGTCTTCTTTGGTTTCTGATTTTGAGTCTTCACTCTTTTTCTTAGTTTAATTAAGGGTTTGTCAATTTTGTTTATATTTTCAAAAAGCAGTTTTTAGTATCATTGATCTTTTCTATTGTTTTTCTGTTCTCTCTTTTATTTATTTCTACTGATATTGGCTATTTTCTTGCTTCTTCTAAGTTTGGGCTTCATTTGTTCTTTTTCTAGCTCCTTGAGGTGGAAGGATTGTTTATTTGAGATCTTTCTTGTTTTTTAATGTATTTATCACTATGAACTTTCCTCTTAGAACTGCTTTTATTGCATCTGTTAAATTTTGGTATGCTGTTTCTATTTTCATTTATCTCAATATATTTTTAAATTTCTCTTTTGATTTCCTCTTTGACCCATTGGTTATTTAAGAGTATATTGTTTAACTTTTACCTGTTTTTGAATTTTTCATCCTTTTCTCCTATTACTAATTTCTAGTTTATACTATTATAGTCAGAAAAGATACTTGATAATGATTTTAGTATTTGTCAATTTGTTAAGACTTGTTTGTGATCTAACATGATCTGTCCTGGAGAATGTTCCATGTGTGTTTGAGAAGAATGTGTATGCTACTGCTACTGGATGAAATACTGTGTGTCTATTAGATCCATTTGCTCTAAATTATGGTTCATGTACATTATTTCCTTATAATTTTTCTCTGATTAATCTATCCATTGTTGAAAGTGAGGTAATGAAGTCTCCTACTATTATTGCATTGTCATTTATTTCTGCTTCAGATTTGTCAATATTTGTTTAATATATTTAGTGCTCTGATGTTGGTCTATATATATAGATAGATAGATAGATAGATAGATAGATAGATAGGTACAGATATCTATATCTATATATCTATATCCATAATTGTTATCTCCTCTTGATGAATTGACTCCTTTACCATTATATAATGACCTCCTTTGTCTCTTGTTGCACTTTTTAGGTTAAAGCATATTTGTCTGATACCAGTATAGCTATCCTTGCTTTCTCTCAGTTTCTATTTGCATAGGATATCTTTTTCCATCCTTTTATTTTGAGCTTATATATATCCTTAAAACTGAAGTGAGTATCTTATAGTCAATATATAGTTGGGTCTTGTTTTTTTTAATCCACTCAGCCACTTTATGTTTTTGATTAGAGAATATAATCCATTTACATTTAACATAATTATTGATGGATAAGGACTTATTATTGCTATCTTATTGTTTTAATTGCTGTTTTTTTGTTCCTTTGTTTCTTCCTTTCTTGTTGTCTTCCTTTGCAATATGATGATTTTCTGTAGTGTAATGCTGTGAATCCTGTCTCTTTATCTTTTGTTTTGCTTTATTGTTTGTTTTGCTTTACTTTTGTTTATCCTAGGTTTTGCTTTGTGGTTACTATGAGGCTTGCATAAAACATGCTTTAGTTATAACAGTCTGTTTTAAGCTTATGACAGGTTAACTTCAATCTCATACAAAATCTCTACCTTGTTACTCCCTTTCCCCACAAACATTCTTTGTTTTTTTATTTCACAATTCAGAATTCATGTTTTAATATTGTATATCCCCTAAGAAATTATTGTAGCTATACTTATTTTTAATACTTTTGTCTTAACCTATATACTATAGTTAAATGATTTATACACCACTATTATAATACTAGAGCATTCTGAATCTGACTATATACTTACCTTTACCAATGAATCTTATATTTTCATGTTTTCAAGTTACTAATTAGTATCCTTTCATTTCAGCTTAAAGAATTCCCTGTAGCATTTCTTGTAAGGTAGGTCTAGTGGTAATGAAAAACCCTAGGTTTTTTGGGGAAATTCTTTGTGTCTCCTTAATTTCTGAAGGACATCTTTGCTGAGTAAATTATTCTGGGTTGGCAGGTGGTGGTGTACTTTTTGTCGTTTTTTTAGCACTTTGATTATATCATCCCACACTCTCTTGATTTGCAAGGTTTCTGCTGAAAAATCCACTGATATCTTGGTGGAGGTTCCCTTATATGGGAGGAACTTTTTTCAGGGTATCTGTATAAATGTCTACAGACTGAGTAATGCATAAAAGAAAATAGAAACTGGCATGATATGTTTCCTCCTGCTGTTATCCCTCTGGCTTACTTATTCACTTGCTGAAACATCTGCCTAGTCTTCTGGGGCCAGTCCTTGGAAATTTGTTTTAATAACATGTAAGTTGTGCATGTTGGAGTAGTTTCTATCTGGAGAAACAAAGTTGAATTTCTGTTGACAGTTAGAAAAAGCCATTTCTGACCTCCAGAGTGAATAACTCTGGTTGTTTTCTTTGTCCTGATATCTGCTTTGAATAGTATAATATCTTTTATCAGGTCTGCTCATGATGTTTCGGCTACTGAATATCCTCTCTTCTGCTTTGATAGCCAGTCATTCTTTAGTATTATTTAGTCTTACAAGTAAACATTAAGCTCTGTGTGTCAGCCTCTGAAAAACAAGATCCTAACATAGCCACTGTCTTCAAGGATTTCACTATCTAGAGGGAAAAATAGGCATAAAGTAAACTAAAATGTAATGCGTAAGCATTAAAGAGTGGTGTGATCACAGAGCAGAGATCATCCCACCCTTGAGAGGTATGTGCCTGTTTCTAACATCCTAGTAGTTTTACCGCCCTTAAAGTGTTTATGTTGGGGTTCACAGTTTATATTTGTTTGAGAAGTTAGGTGGCTCCATGTTGAGGGCATGCAAAGTTATAAAGCACAGTTCCTCCTTTGAAAAGGTACAGTATCCTTGGGGAAGCAATAATTAGAGGATAAATATAATACAGCAGCGACTTAAATTTCTGCAGAGTGTTATAGTTTTTAATATACCTTTGCATTTATTCTTTATGATAACCCTGTAAGGCAAGTTATTATAAACACTTTATGATGAGAAAAACAATTAATGTGTGGCAGAGACTGCAGTCCAAGCCACCTGACCTTAATCTGCAGCATAGTAAGAACTGAGTAGTTCTTACTTTGACATAGTAAGAACTGAGTAGTTCATGTGGAAATCAGAGAATGAGGTTTCACAAACCCTGTCCAGACAGCAAAGAATATTTCAGGGTCTGGTGTGCAGTGAAGAAGTAGAGTCTGGGATGGGCCAAGACTGAATGCTGAGCAATTAGCTGAAAGCCAAGAGTTTGAGTTGAGAGAAGCCCAAAAAGCAGAGTCCAAAGGGAAATTTGAGGTGAGAGCTGCTAGGAGTTTTGTGAAGAGACAAGGTAGGAGAGTTGGGAATTTGTGAGGGTCGTTTTCAGCCTGGCCCAATTTCATACTTCTTTTTGAAGACGGAGTTCCTTCCTTGCTCGTCTTAATGGCACATAGCATTCTGAACCTAAATTTTAACAGGAATAGTAAAGTATGAGGATGTTTATTTGTAGTTTGCATGGATTATACAGTCATATGTTAAGGTTGATGGAAGGCTGGCCCTACTGCATATATTTTATTTCCAAGGTGTGTATGTTAGATTCTCACTGTTTGGCTTTGTACATTGGTGAAATGTTTTATATCCACCATCTTTCAAGTACTCAGTAGCCACATGTGACTGGTGGTTATCATATTGGACAGAATGGTAAACTTGGGTTCTTTTCTTTAAAAAAATATTTTTAAAGTAACACGTGCACATGTAAAAATATTCTAAGTGTTCAAGAGGTTAAAAGTGAAAGTGAAAGTGTCTTCCCCCCACCTTCTTCTCAATTTCTCTCCCTCTTTCCAATGGCATCTACTATTAAAACTTTCTGTTATTTCCTTTCAGGAATAGGAAGGCATATCCATCAAAATTGTATATGTATAAGCTTTTTATAAATTATAAAAATTGACTATAGTAGGTATTCTGTTTCATATCTTTTTGTTTCATATTTTTTTAAAAAAAGTATTATAAAACTCTAAGAGGTCTTGACACAACAATGCATTTAGCTCTACCTATTGTAAAGGTTGCCTAGTGTCCCTTGTTTGGAAATAGAATTTATCAGTTTCCTATTTTAGGTTTTTATGTTGTTTCCTTTTCTTTTCTTTTTCTATTCAAACAGTATTGTGATATATATAGTCTTTGTTTTGTATGTTTGTAGGGAAGAGTCTTAGCAGCGCAATTGCTGGATCAAAGGATAAGAGCACAGCCTCTTAAGAAGGGCTCCTAGTGGTCCTCCATGACAAGTGCTGTTTCTAAGCAAGGAGGGAGTCTAGAATCTGGGGCAAGGGTAGGGCATAAAACACTGGAAGGAAGGGGACTAGACATAAAATAACAGTGAAGAAACTGGCCGTGAGACAAGATGATAAATATCTGTATCAATAGTCTGAAGGGTGGCCTTTAAGTTTAATCAGTACAATTGCTTCTGGGAGTATTTAAGAAAAAAGTTTTAAATGTCAATGTAGTTTGTTGCAATATGTATATATTTTTATAACTGCTATTGTGTTTAATTTTGTTATAAAAATATTGCAATCATAATATATATAGTTTGGAAAATGCAAGTATAAAGCAGAAGACAAATTTCACCCATACTAAGAGAAAACTAATATTAATATTTTTATTTCTTATTTCTGTATATGTAGTAGTTTTTACATAGTTGAGATCATATTGTATATACATATGCTTATATTCAAACTTTGCTTATCATCCTGATCTTGTTGATTTAATTTTCTTTTATTATTTTTTGCCTGCCTTTTTTTTAAGGTAATAGAAATCTAACATTGTTTTGGAATGAATTTGGATATCAGAAGGACAAGGACATGGAGAGATCTTTAGATTCTGTTCAGTATCAAAGACGACAAGCCATGGCCATCCCATTCATCATTCAGTGTGGTGAGTGTTGAATTAATTCCATTCCAATCAGCAAACATTTAGTGAGTTCCCAATAGCAAGTCATTGTGCTGAAAAGTGGGTTGTGAGAGAGACAGAGGTGGGTAGGACAGGGTGCTTGCTTTCAAGGAGATTAGGGTCTAGGAAAGGTTCAGAAATGCATGAAACAATGTGTAATAGAGATTAAAATTAGGTAAATGAGGTCAAAGAGGCATAAAGTTATTTGAGGAGGTGGTGGGAGTTGAGGCCAGGCTTCATGACAGAGGTACCTTCTTCGATATGGCTGTTTCTCTCTCTTTAGTTGTGGAGTTTGTCCTGTCCGTCTTCAGGTCTATGTCTGGGGTATTTAGGATGTTGTGATAGTTATCTAGCAGTCTTCGTGGGACGAGGTGAGCCTGCACTCCTCCAGCTCCGCTGCCATCTTCCTCTACGTCTGTCGAGGTAGAATTTTGAGAGGCGGAGATGTAGTGGGGACTGTGTGTTAATATCAAGTGTACACTTGAGCTAAAATTTTTGTGATAGAATAATAGACACAGTTATTTTTTATTTTAATACTTAGCACTATGTTAAATATATAGTACTTAGTAATTGACTACTGGATGAATGATGAATGAATAATAAAAGACGAGAGTGTTTATGTTGAGTAAACCTATTAGAGGGCCTCGAATGTCAGAGTAAGGAGTTTTTCCTTTGGTAAGTAATGACAAGGCTTTGGGAGTTTTTCAGTAGGAGAACATCACTCAAGCATTTAGCACTTATGATTGTGTGCCTCCAATACATCTTCTAGCCACCATATAAAGGGTTAGAGAATTAAAGACATTCTCTACTATCTGCAAGGAATCTGCCATCCAGGGGGAAGGCAACCAGGCAAACAAAAAAGCGCACAATAGTAGTTATTTACACAGTGCCTAGGGAACACCTGTCCCACCTTGTCCCTGGGGTGGTCCAAAGAGGACCTGAGCGTCATATGTAACTTGTAGTAAGGTAGTTCTGGCTGCTCAGTGCAGGATGATTTGGAGGAAGGCTAGCGCAATGGTTGAGGTCAGACCTGTGAGGAGATTACTGGCATCATCCAGGAGCCAGGGGAGAAATTGTAAAGGTCCGGAGAAAGTCATGGCTGTGCAATTTCAGAAGAACCTACACGCCAGACATTTAGAAGGAATAGTTGAGGAAGTTGATGACTATATGCAACAACCTATTGGATGATAACAATGAAGGCTAAAAGTTACTGTGTGTTTTTGATGTGTGCAAGGTACTGCCAGAATCCAATCTCCAGTATCTGAGAGCTGTATGAAATTGGGCAGATTCCTTAACTTCTTTAAGCCTCAGTTTTCAGACTTATACAACGGGGTTAGTATTTGTAGCTACATCATACAGCTTTGTGAAAAAATGAATTAACACATGTAAAGTTTACTAAGTGCTTAGGGTGGTGTATTAGGGTTTTCTAGAGAAAGAGAAGTCATAGGATGGACGGATAGGTATTAATTCTGGGGAATTGGTTTACATGATCAAGGAAGCTAAAGAGTCCAGAGACCTGCAGTCAGCAAGCTGGAGACCCAGGAGAGCCACTGGCTTAATTTCCAGTTTGAGTCTGAAGACCTGAGGACTGAGAGACCCACTGATGTAGTTCTAGCCTGAATGTTGACAGGCTTGATACTCAGGAAGAGCTGATCTTTTAGTTTGAGTCTGAAGGCAGAAAAGAAATTGATGCCTCAGCTCAAGACAGTGAGGAAGGAAAAGTTTCTTCTTACTTACAGGACAGTAAGCCTTTTTGTGTCTGTTCAGGCCTTCAACTGATTGGGTAAGGCCCACCCATGTTAGGGAGGGTAATCTTTACTCAGTCTATCAGTGCAAATGTTCTCATCCAAAACACCCTCACAGACACACTCAGAATAATGTTTGACCGGATATCTGGGTAACCCATGGATCAGTCGAACTGACACATAAAATTTACCGTCATAAATAATGCCTAGCTTTTATCATTATTATGCCATTTAATCCTCAACGATCCTTTTAGGTAAGTGCTAATATTAATCTCTTTTTACAGATGATGATACTGAAGCATAGAGAAGTACTTTATCCAAGATCATAGAGGTAGTAACTGGTAGAGCTATTCCAGTTCTTAGCTACTGTGACTTCAACACTGTGTGTTCTTAACCAATGTGCATACTGCCTCGATCTTAGATGAACAGAGAGAATGTTTACCTAAGAGCCAGTAGCTGTGTATGTGGATAGAATTCAGGATTAGAGTGGAGAATAGCCTGGAGAGACTGGAGTGCCTGGTTCTACAGGCAGGGAAGGAATGAAAGGAGGAAGTAGACAAAAGAAGTCACAAATCGTAGGATGGAGGGTGGGGTAAGAGCAGGAGACAGGTGCAGAGTGTGTAACTGTGTAAATGGTTCAGAGAGCTTGATTTTCCTTGTTATGTTAGTCAAGTGGTTGGAGATGGAAAGTGGTGTTGGTAGCAGAGGGATCGTAGGTTGGAGAAAATGGAGGAGTCGAGTCACTAGAAGTCTTCCTGTGGTTCAAGAAGAGATGTGGAGGGACCTAACCAACATTCTTCTGGCTGAAAGGAGCAGGAACCAACTGGAAAGAACTTCAGCAATAACGACAACCATAATAACAACAATTTATTGGTGGTGTCTTGGGGTAGCTCATAGAATCTTAGACTAGTTGTGCCGTCAGTTATAAAGGTATGTGATTATGGATTCACTTGTCTCTGGATCGAAAGATACATATACTTTTGGTATGTGCAATCTGACATGTTACTTGCTATGTTCACTTCTGACTCTGCTCTTTCTTGTGTGTGATTTTGTTTTCATTATCAGATCTTTGCCTTAAATGGAGAATCTTGCCTTCTTCTATTACTTATCAGGAAAAAGAATTTTTTGACCTCTGGATTTGTGCTAATAATCCTAACCCCTTGGAAAACAGGTAGTTTTTGATAGTTTTCTAAAATTCATTATCCATTTTTAATTCCCAAAATGCATTTGTGTGAAACTGGAAATGTCAGCGATAGATGCATTTTAGCTTAATAGCGGTCATCCTTGTGAACTCTTTCTAGCTCCTTACCACCTGTGGAAATATACTTCGTTAGTCTGCTTTCCCATCAAGATAAAGGAGCCCTGCATGTAATTATCTGCAAACTTTGGGATGTGCAGCTCTGTGCTTCCACTGGCAGGAGACCATGACCCAGTGTTGGAGTTCTGCCTTCTAGTTCATTTTCATACAACATACGGCCTTATTGTAAAGGAATCTTATCCAGAGGGTGTCTCCTGGGGCACTAACCTGTTAGACCATGTGCTTTTTCTATTTAAGTCACATATTGATTTCATTGCTTTGTGCTCTTGGAGGAAGAAGTTCAGGCTAAAACAGGAAAAAGACCGATTAAGTATTGATGAATGTCACTGTTATTACAGACCCTTTAGACTTAAATTATTTTCCTTGGGAAGGGAAAGAATGAGTATCCCCCTGCTTAATGAAGGCACCCCTGAATCAAACATTGCTTCTCCATGGAGTTTGTTCTAAGTTCTTTGGCCTGGATAAGTGGATCAATATGGCTAATACAGACATTAGAGTAATAACTCCTGTTTCATTATTTTTATCCAGCCCTAAATAAAAAAAAAAAAAGGAAAATTAAAAAAAATAAACAGCACAAACACACACCAACATTTCCAGCTGGAGTTCCCAAGTTACCCATATTTAGAGACTAAGGAAAATACCAGAGGTGGTAAGGGCTCTTAGATTCCTCACGGCCCAGGGGTTTTTAGTCTTGTTTCTTGGTTTGCAGCAGAACCTGTTTTCCCCAAACACAATTTGTTCAGACCCCAAATACATAAGATAAATGCAGAACTTTCCTGATTAAATTGGAAGCTGGGATGTGTGCGAATCAGACTCCATTTCTCATTTCTGTTCTGTACTCTGTAAAAAGCCTAGAGCTCCAGGGAGCATGATTATAAAATACTGATCTAGCCTCACTCCTTCATTTTAGAGAAGTGAAAATTGAAGCCCAATGGGGGCTAAGATACCTGTTCATGAGGCTACTGGCCAAGGTCTCTGACTCCTAGCTGGGTTCTAGCCCTGGCTTGAAACTTGAGTATCTCCCACATAAGAGCCAAGGGTTGGCTCAGTTTCAATATTAAGAATAGTTACTAATATTGATCCCTTCCTGTGAGCTAAGAACTTTTCATGCAGCATTAGAATAGTGTTTAGAGTTCTGATTCTGGGGCCAGACTGCCTGTGTTTTTGATTCCCCTGGCTCCATTAGCTGTGAGATCTTGGATAGGTGACAGAACCTCTCTTTCACTTGGCTTTCTATCACTTAGAATGGGGTGTCATCCTAGTACATTTTGCATCGTCTCTGGGTCCAGCTGAGCCCATTAGAAAGACAATTTACTGGGCGTCTGGGTGGCTCAGATGGTTAAACGTCTGCCTTCAGCCCAGGTCATGATCCCAGGGTCCTGGGATCAAGTCCCGCATAGGGCTCCCTGCTCAGTGCAGAGCCTGCTTCTCCCTCTCCCTCTGCCATTCCCTCTGCTTGTGCTCTTCTGTCTATCTCTCTTCAAATAAATAAACAAAATCTTAAAAAAAAAAAAAGTAAAAAAAAAAAAAAAGAAAGACAATTTACTAAGTTTACTAAGTTCCTGGTTACTGGGAGCTTCTTAGTTATAAGACGTGAGAATTTAGGTCCCTTTCCACAGATCTAACATATGTCTGTGACTTCTTAGCCCAGTCTTGGGGCATTCTTGGACCCACAGAACTGGTATCTATCCTCTACGGTTTTCCTTACCTCCAGCTTACCATTGTCCATGAATTGGCACACTCTCACCCTCTCCTCCCTGAAAAGTGGTGATGCGATCACAGAGCACTGCAAAATTAGTTTCAAAGCTGCATCAATTCTGTCTCTTTTACACATCCAAATAGTGCCCCTGGTGATGACAGGCAAGAGAAATTTAGCCACGTCGACAGAAAACTGATGGTCCTTCAAAGCTTAAAATGCAGAGTTGTCTTATATTTTAAGTCCTTGATTCTTGAAATATAATGACATGATTTTGACCAGGTGTATTTCATTTCCACTGAAAAGATTAGGACAAAAAATATGCTTAATGTGACAGCAAGAGATTTAGGGGACATGTAAAGAAAAACTCCTGATTATGAGGGCACTTACTTGAGAGTTGATACTTCCCTTATTGGAGGTCATTGCAGCTCTAATTCAGTATGGTAGGATGGACCGTGTGTACATTGACAATGTGCCATGAAATAGCAAGACCTTATGCCATTGGATTCAGATAGAATCCCGCAAAATCAGTGTATGAAAGTGATGAGAAATACAGTATGGTTATTAGGCAGCATTCAGTGAATGGAAGGCCTGAGTAATGGGGTAAAACGTGGCATTGTCTGTATTTACAGAAAGTATAGTGTTATTGTCAGCAGTTAATTGCCAATTGTCAGCAGGGTTAACGCGAATGAACAGCATTTAAATGAACAATGTCTGTGTAACCAGAACTTAGGCAGGAAACATAATAACAGTTTTCTCTTACACAGCAATTACATACGTTATCTCATTTCCTCTTCACGATAACCATATGAACTTGCATCGCTTCTCAGAGGGGGAAGCAGTGAGGCCAGGAGGGGCCCAGGGACTTGTCCAGGATGCCTCCCTAGAGCTGAGACTTGAAGCCAAGCCTTTGGATGCAAACCTGCACTCTTTCTGCCTACCCGGTGTCTGAAGGCATCCTCTTTGTGTGTGTGTTTTAAATTTTTTTATTCGACTGTAGTTGACACACAACGTTACATTAGTTTCAGGTGTACCACACAGTGATTCGGCATCTGTATATGTTGTGCTGTGCTCACTGCAAGGGACCCTCCCATCTGTCACCATGCAGATGCTTTTACAGTATCACTGTGTTCCCGATGCTGTGCCTTTTATCCCGGGACCTGTTCATTCCATAGCTGGAAGCCTGTATCACCTGATCCCCTACCCTCATTTTGCGCATCCTCCCACCCCTTTCCCTCTGGCAACCTCTGTATTAATAAGTCTAATTCTGCTTTTTATTTGTTTATTCATTTGTCTTGTTTTTTAGATTCCAAAGGCCTCCTTTTACATTTCAGGAAGCCTCATGCCAGTCATATGCTCTGTGGTGACAAAATGCACCATCTTACAAATGGTAGTATTATTCTGAGCTGGTCACCCAGGTGGGGTAAAATGAAGCCATTCTTCTTTGGACCACCAGAGCATTTTTTTCTTTTCCACTTTAAACACAGAGGGAGGCTAGACATTTTTTATCACGGTACCTGAGAAATAGGTATCAACATACTTCCACTACATCCATGCTGTGCGTTTATCTGCATTTGGAAATAGGGATCACCAGCAGGGTAAAAATGATGCCTATCATTTGATAAAACCAAAAAAGTCTGAACTGTGAAAAGGATGTTTAAAATCTCCATGGGTCGTATTGCAAGTTAAAATCTTTAAAGATCATTGAATGGATTGTGTGTTTTATTAAAATACTTGAGGTTTCTCTTTTTTGAATAAAAACTTAATGTTTTTAAGTTAATGTTCATTTTATAGGTACCACCTCACAGATGTCTTCAAATCCATACTGCAGGTGGCTGTATTTACAGTAGATGCCCCCTGATTGGTTTCTCTACCACCTTTTTTTTTTTTAAAGTAACAATAACAACAAATACCATATGTGGGTGCAATTGTTTTTTCACAGTCGTATTTGAATCTGATTGTAGCTCCTCACTCTCCTCTCTTGCTAGGGGGAAGGGAAACATACCCAGCAGTTCTGAAAAACAGAAATCATGGGTTTGATCTGCTTTGCTTTTCCTGCACTGGTTCAGAAGGGAGAATGCCCTTTTTCTAGGCTCAACCTCCTCGTCCCTGTCCTAGGTTAACAACACATTTATTTCGTACAAACTTTGTCCCTCCCCCCTCTTTTTGGTTCCAGTCAATAATAGAAAAACGCTTGTGTAAAGCAGGCTCTTAGAACTGACTTTGACCTTTTGCTCCACTCCGGAACTTTCCCAGCCATACCCTGAATAGAGCCATGCCCAGGGGGAGCTGAACTTCTTAACCTTGACAAGCCTTGAAACCAAGGGAAACAATATAATATCTCCATTTTTTGATAGTTTGGCTAACTCAGCTCCCCAGAACATAGCCATGGAACCAAAAGTAGGGGGGAAAAACAAAGGACCTCCAACCTCTTGAGCCATATGTTTCCAAAGTCATTAGTATTTTATGTCACTATAACGAGGGAGGCTCTCATCCACAGTCTGGTTTTTGTGCATCTACATACAGTTCTACGTGGTTATATAGCATGTGGGAACAGCACAGCAGTAAGGCAGGGAAGCACAGAGGCTGCCAGCAGCAGGGGAGAGAAGGATGTGCACCTGCTGCCGCCGGATCATGGGGCTAATCTGTGATGAAGGGCTGCCCGGGGCGCGGTGACCTGCAAGGCTGTCACTGAGCACTGCATCCCATCCCAGGGGTCCCTGCTCTTCACACTCAGCCTTCGCAGTGGATCCACGTGTTTCAGAAGCAGAATTATTTGGTGTCCTTTACAGAGACCTATAGATTCCTACCTGACATTTTTTGGGGAAAAAATGTTTAGCAATAATGAGATAAGCTTCAATAATCTAAAAGCGTTTTTGCAAAAGGCTTCGTTTCATGATCACGCAGGATAAATGAAGCAGTCATGAAAGAATGAATATATTCTCCCATTCTTGTAAATATACCATCCTCCACATTTTCCCTTAAGCTTTTTTCCACGCGAACTGGAGATTTAACGTCATGTGTTAACCTCAGGTCATCAATACACTGCTCTTCCTTTGTATTCAAGTTTTGGATATAAGGCATAAAGAGTATCTTTTTATAGAAGTAAATCATCTTTTATAGACAATAGTTTTATATTTCTTCCTGACGATGTCTCCTGTTGATTGTGAAGTTGTCATCAGGCAGAACGCCTGCCTTCCATCCCTCTGGGCACCATGAGCTCGGTGTCACCATCAAAAACTGAGAAAGAGAAACAACTTCGAGAGGCGATCCAAAGGTATCACAGTCGACTGGCAGACTCGCAGCCACAGGTGAGCTGTTATTCTTTCCAGAAGCTACTTGAACTCCAGAGCTGTTGGTTTTATGTGTGCAAATCAGCTAATGTGTTTCACCCCTGTAAATTGTGTAGCTTCTTTTTTCCATCCTTTTTTATCACTTTCTTTTAATTTTGGCTCTAAGGACTGTTCTAAGGACAAGTACTAGTGCCCCAGGGGCTCAGGAAGGGAGAAGAATTAAAAAAAAAAAAAAAGCTACCTGTCATATTTAAGCCCTTCTACACAACAGTGCATGAGAGAAACAGGGCGATTTATTTCCACCCTGCAGATTCACAGAGAGCCTTGTATGGGTGACACGGTCAAGACTGGGACATGAGTCGGTATGTTTCCAAAAGCTAGGCTCTTTTTATTTCATTGGGCTTCCTCCCTGAGGGTGGATTTTTGAGGTGAAGAGTTGTTCTTTTAAAAAATATTAGCCTATTAATACAGAAAGTCAGTGTCACTTAATTGTTAAGAAAATTCAATAAATAAAACATAACTATCAGGAAATATAAGTAACCATGACAATTTCAAGGGAAAGAAAAAGTGGTGTGCAGAAATATTGTTTTAATCTCTTAACTAATAAAGTAATTAGATCTCTGTTTATAGACTTAATACCCAAATTCAGCAGTTTTGAACTGGAGAGCCTGTCAGCTTCCTCAAATAGAACTTGAGGAGGTCAGCAGCATATGTCCAAATGTGTTGACTCCTCTGTAAATGTCAGGAAATAAAATACTTGAATAGAAAATTCTCTTATGGAGCAGGGATAAAGATTCTCAGGCTTAATACCTTATTGTTATTATGTGTATTCCTGTGCTTTTAGATCAACTTTCTTTTCTATCTCATTTCTTTTTGCCTCTCCCACTTTGCTAGGGATCTGCCAGGCAAGTCAGCACCACTTGGGATTACTGGCAAGGAAACCTGACCCTCGTTTTTAGTCTGGAGTCTCTGGGTCTCTGGGGAAGACACTGAGAGTCACTTTGCAAACACATTCTCTTAAGCATTCCCCGTCCCCCTTCCTCCCCCCCATTGGTGAAACTTTCTATAGTTCTTAGAGCCTCTAGTTGTGGGTTTGATAACAGAGGTCAGAAGTGAGGGTATCACAGCCTGCAGTTTCTATAATAAACAAGCAGGTAAAGTCAGATCTTTCCAAAGTGGAATGTCTTCATTTGTTTTTTTGCTTCTTGTTTGCCACTCCCTGTAGATTTGCGAAGGCAGACGGTGTCTCCTGAAATGCCTCTGTCTTTGTTGCAGTCTCTGAATGCTTTTTTCTTTCCTATGGAGGTCAGAGCTGACCCTGGGATGGTAATAGTACCAATCACAAAGTTTTTGATTACCTTTTTGTTTGTTTAGTATTGGGTGTTTTATTTATTACTAAGGTAGAGATTTTGATGGTAACTGTTGGGGTAACCTATTTGGGCCATCCGTTCTGCTTATTCTTTCTTTCTTGGTAGTTGAGTTTTTCATAAGCCAGGTTTATAGATTCAGTCTGTTTGACGTATAAACAAAGAAGTTTAGCAGTCCTTGCCTAGAGACTAGCTCCCATCAGTTCAAAGGACCTAGGAATCCTCCCCCTCCTCCCTTGCCCCCTTTCGTGAAGGTAGGTAATCCTAGCATCTTCACCTCCCAGTACTCAGTGCCCTTAACTGACCCTAATTCTGTGGTCATCAAGGAAAGCTTTGTTTAGAGTTCGCTAACCATAGGCCATCAGTTAATTTTAAGGTGGTCATTGAGCGCATACTTGCCTTTGGGTCTGTCCCATGCTGAGCATTGCAGGGAAGACGGAATCACTCTCATACCACAGTGTGAGCTCTGTGAGTGCAGGGATAGTCTTGGTTTTGTTCACTGTAAATCTGTTACCTTACACAGTGCCTGGCAAGCAGTAGATACTCAGTAGTTGTTGGGTCAATAAATAGAACATGCATTCAGATAATAAACAGTCCTTTCGTGGACCAAGCCTAACAGTATTTGAAAATTAGTGACCACCGCCACGCGATGGTCAGAAAGTATCTGTCTGATCACAACTGAAACCACCAGAGCTGTTTATTACACGGAGAGAGTGAGGGCAGCTTTAGTCAAAAAAACGGCTTCACGGAAGAAGTGGCACTTACCTTGTGTCTTGAAGTCTATTTCGGCGAATTGGGAGAAATGACAGGGCAGGCATTATAGGTGAGAAAAACATTATAAAAGAAGACTTGGAGATCAGCACTGACTTGTTCCTTCACGGTGCCAATCCTTTAAATTACATGCTAAACTTACGTATTTTAAAAAAACAGACTCAGCATCTGTGTGACATCTCTGTTTCAAAGACCGTGTAACTCATTATAAAATATGTTGACTAGTAGACCTCTGGAAGGTGACCTCAATCCCCCTTTCACAAAAATAACCCATGAAAGTATTCAAAAACTGTATTTTGGTGATAGCTGCCTGATGCCAGAAACAAGACTCAAAACCATCCAGTATTCATTGTGAATTTACTCTCTTCCTGACTGCCCTTTAAAAGAAGCTCTGTTGGAGTACAACCCAGGCGGGGCTGGGAAAGCCAGAGAAGGAGGGCATTGGTGCCCTGTAGGTACCGTGCAGACATGATCAGGTGCAGGGTAGATACCACTGGAAAATCGGGAACTGGCTAGTGTGTGACCATGATTCACTGCGTCTCCTGGTGGTGCCCATTCTCCCAATATCCGGAAATAATAAGGTGCTTGCCATGGAATTATGGTCTGCCCCCTCTGGTTCTCTCTCCCTGCCTCACTCTGCCAGTGCCTACTTACTTATCCATTGACTAGACTGGGGAACAAATATAAAAATGACCTAAATCTGCACATCCCATTTCTTACTCTCTCGTATTTCATCTTTCATGGCCGAAGGCATCCTGATCTGGGAAATGACTACGTTCATCAAAGACCTTTCTGGATCTTAGATTCTGTGGTTCTGGGCTTTGTGTTACAGACAAGCAGGAGTGACGGAATAATGGTAGGAGAGAGAGTATTATGGTAGTAGTATGTGAAGTTGGCAGCTGCAGCCTCTTCTCCACCCCTCACGCACCCTACTGCTGTGTCGAGTGACTAACTTCTAGGAGCACCACCTACCTGATGCCCTGGTTAGACAGTGCTTACGGTGAGTCAGGGAGCTGTTCTGGTGAAAGAGGTATCTCAGTGGTTAGATCTGGTCCTCTAGGAGAAAATGAGGTAGGTAGGTCCAAAGCTGTCATTTCCACAGATGGTATCTTATGTAATCCCCAAAACAGAACAGTTACATCAGTTATAGCCAAAGAGGGAAGTAAAGTTCAAAGATGTTAAATAACTTGAATCAATCACACGTTTTTAAATGGTGAAGTTGGAATTTGTTTCCTTTTTGTCTAATTTCAGCACGGATCTGCTCAGTCTCCTAAGGATAAATACAGAAAGGACCTAAGAACATTTACAAAGGCAACAAACCGATACACTGCAAAACCTAGTTGTTAAGGAAAATACTGAAGTTCGGTAACCCAATAGGAGAGCTCAATTTCAAGATGTAATTGATAAGCAACCCAAGACCCTATCTATAAATTGTGCTTCTGAAACAGCCCATTCCCCAGTCTTTCTCTTTCTGAAGAGATGAATGAATAATCTGTTCCTCGCTCCACATTTCAAATTCATTCCTCAGGACCTGCTGTTTTCTATATCGAGTGACAAGTGCCACCTGCTGGCCACACGATGAAGCATTTTCATTTTCATTGTGTCACTCTTGACTGCTCAGCTACTAAGTGGCCCATTACCTGGATAATTGTTACTCTGTTTTTCAGTAAACCTAAACAATAATTTTAAAACCATAGAGTAGAGTTACAAAATCAATTTCTCTGCATTCCAGGAACACTCCAGTCCTCAAATTTGCCCTTTTCTCAGTTTTAACTCACGACTTAGATTCTCATCCACCTTCTATTGTACGACAAGGATGACTGCGTCATAATCATGCACATGGCACATAGTTTAGGTGCATCTCGTTCAGGGTGTTTTGGTACCACTTTAAATCCACTTAAAGCCCTTAGTCATTATAAAACAGATCATAACTTGATTCCCTGAATAAAGCCTACTCTCTAACCCATTTCTCCAGAAGTAATGTTATGGGTACATATTTATATAATCCTGCCTGTACACGGTGTGCTGTATCACTTATGTATCCTCTGAGTCTCTCTGGGTTCATCTTTCTGATTAATATTTCTTTTTTTTTAGCATTTTTTTAAAAGATTTTATTTATTTATTTGAGAGAGAGAATGAGATAGAGAGAGAGAGCATGAGACAGGGGAGGGTCAGAGGGAGAAGCAGACTCCCTGCCGAGCAGGGAGCCCGATGCGGGACTCGATCCCGGGACTCTAGGATCATGACCTGAGCCGAAGGCAGTCGCTTAACCAACTGAGCCACCCAGGCGCCCCCTGATTAATATTTCTTATCCTACAGTCTGGGCTCTCTCTAATCCGCTACGGTTTGCCTTTCTAGCATTACAGTGGGCCCTTGAACAACACGGGTTTGAACTGCACAGGTCCACTTCTGTGGATTTTTTCCCCCCGATAAATACAGTACAGTATTGTAAAAGTACCTTACGATGTTATTAATAACATTTTCTTTTCTCTAGCTTACTTTATTATAAGAATGCAGTATGTAATCAATCTAACATACAAAATAAGTGTTCATTTGACTGTTACGAGTAAGTCTTCCGGTCCACAATAGGCTATTAATGGTCAAGTCTGGGGGGAGTCCAAAGTTGTATGCAGATTTTCAGCTCTGCAAGTGTTGGGGCCCCAATCCGTATGTTGTTCAAAGGTCATCTGTAGTGTCTTCCCCTCTGCAGGAATCTCCCTGAGCCTTGCCTTATTCCTTAGGTGTGTTCTCCCTCGCCCTGCTGTTCTGAGTGCCTTTGTTCCTTCCATTGTGTCTGGAGCGGCCTCTCTCTCTTTTCCCTTCTTCAAGATCCAAAAATAATGTCATTCCTGTATGAAGTTTTTTCTCATTCCCTACCTG